ATCCAGTGGAAAGCTCGCCAAGCGCCCCGACCGCTGGGCACAGCCTGACCTTCCGCAGCACTTATATTTCCAGCTAAGTCCGCAGCCTCTCTTGCCGTGAAAGGAGACCGGCAAGACCCGAGGCTTCCACCTGGCAGAACATCACCCTCCCTCCCACCAGGTGAGGTCCAGGATGCCTTAAGCACTCTGCCTGTATGTAAAGGTGCTACAAACGTCAACGTGCTCCATCCTTTATACAACTGCACGTCAGGTGGGTTCATGGAAGTGATCACGATTAAGATTGGCCTGTGGTCATAATAGACCCAGAAGCTCTCTGTTCATCTGGGATGATCAAGTTATTCAGGAATCTTCCAGCCTACCCTCTCACGGCTGCAGTGGAGATGGGATGAGACCTTCCTTACATTTCCCGTAGGCCCCAAAGAAAACCTGAGACCTAATAAATACATGTAAACACATCCAATAAAATAAAATTTGAGATTAAAAGGAATCTCGTTTGCATATCCATGAACCACGTGGAAACTCAAATGAGCTCTTCTAAGCTCCTTATTTGTGGGGAGTCAGAGATTTCACATGTGCAGGGAAGACTGCTTAGCAGACACAGCCTGGCAACAGCACAGGCATCCCCGGATTCGCTGGACAACTGTTTACTAACGATCCCTTTGCATTACTATGTATCCCTCTGGCAAACCCAGGGCCTCATATAAATGGCAGGCACTCAACTGTTGATGATGCTGCTGTTCTGAGGTCCCAGAAAGCACAACCCCTGGCCTCAGGTTGCTTATATCTGCTCAAAGAGGTAAGAGTCACCTCCTCCATGAAGCTTTCCTGACCCCACAGGACCCCATTAAGGTGACCCTAGTATGCATTTCCCAAGACTCTCCCTGCTAGTACCACCTCCCACCACAAACTCACACACTCATACACACATGCACACACTCACACACACACAATCACACACACACACGCACTCACACACACACACGCACACACTCACAATCGCACACACATGCACACACATGCACTCACACATACACGCACGCACACACACGCACACATGCACACACATATACACACATGCACACACACATGCACTCACACACGCACACACCCACACACACACATACACATCACACATGCTCACACATACATGCACACACACATGCACACACACGCACATGCACACACACATACACAATCACATACATGCACACACACACATACGCACATGCACACACACACACATACACAGAGGCACCTGCTCCATTGTTTCTATCCTCTTTGGCACTGTAAGTTTAGGGCCGGCAGACACTCTAGCCTGACATACACATGTAGGAAACATTCCATAAATCACTGGATCAATGAAGCAAGAAATGAACGGCTGCATGGGTGGGTGGATGAACAGGTAAGTAAAGGCAAGGTAAAGGCAGAAGTTGTGGCCCAAGGAAAGATGTATGAGGGGCAGCCTGCAAGGACAGGGAGGAACAAGGGCGTTGTCATCAAGGGAAGATCAAGAAGAAAAGGGTTTGAGATCTTAAGGAAAGTGAGGACTTGGCACGCACTGAGGGGATATTTTCTGGTCACTTCTGTGCCACACAGCATGCTGGGCACTTGATGAGCATTACCGTGGGTCCTCACAGCTACACCTGGGGCAGGTATTACACCCACATAGAAGGGGAAACTAGGCTTAGCAGCATGAGCTGGCACCACTGCAGAGCTGGCACGTGGTGAAGCCAGGCTTGGAGACCAAGTGGGCCTGACCCAACCTCCCCCCATGAAGACCAGTGGGCATCCTCTGGCCCAGAGGTAGACTGTTGCTGTCAGGAAGGAAGAGAGCTCACTCCAGGTGGCAGTTCTGGGTGGTGCACAGGGATGAAACAGTCAACATGGTGGCCGGGCCCCTTGGAAGAAAGAGAAAGGGCCGGGGCTGCCTGGGGAGGACCCGGGACGCAGGGCCCCCTCCTGCCCACAGAAACAGCTTGCTCTCCACCCGAGCACAGCCACTATGTCATGGGGTGATGTGGGGCCAGGGAGGGAGGCAAGGACACTTTCCTAAATCATATCCTATTTTGTAGTCAACAGTCAGGCAAGAGGAGGTGGGGGCGGCAGGAAGACAGTGAGATGCAGAAAGGATCAGGTGTGCCACGAGGATCAAATCTCAGCTTCCCGCAGGTGCACTGAGACAGAAGGCATGGGCCCTCACAGCCAGAGGGGCTCAGGGAGCTGGCCCGGGCGATGTCTCCTCACCCAGATGAGCACAGAGGAAGACAGGTTCACAGGGTCCCTCGGCCTGTCTGACACAACGCTCATGGGGTTTTCTCAAAGCATTATCTATTTAGCTGATAGCCCCGAAGTGTTTCATTTAGCTGGAAATCGTGCTTGGTCCATTTCCCAGATCTCACTGACATTATGAGAAGCCGGCAAAATGTGTCTGGCAGCAGAGCAGTTCAGCAACCCATCACCTCGAGTCACAGTCCTGTCGCCCCTGTTTGGAAAGCAGACAGTTCAGACGACTTTGAGAAGGCAGAGTCACTGCTGCCTCCCAGGCAAGTGAGGACTACAGGAAGCCTGTGTGTGTGTGTGTATGTGTGTGTGTGTGTGTGTGCGTGTGTGTGTGCGCGCGCGTGCGTATGTGCATGTGTGTGCGTGTGCATGTGTGTGTATGTACGCAGCCCATGCACATACATTTTGAAGGAAGGCAGCGGTCACCCATGGCACAAGGCAGTCACCATCCTCCCTGGCCATGGGATAAAACCTTGCCAATCCTTTATCTTACTTAATCCTCCAACTCGGGCAAGAATCATTATCCCCAAACGATTTCTGAGAAAGCCAAAGCTTAGCCGATTCACGTGGCCCCAACCCCACAGCCAGCGAGGAGCAGGGCTGAAACTGTAACTCAGCGCTGTCTGAATCCTAAGGCCAGGCTCTCACGGAAACCCCAGTGTCCCCTCCCCGTTCCATGGGCCTGTAGAGGTGCTTCACGGTGCATTCACAGGTCTGCCTGGTACCATATAAAGAAGAATCAAGTCCCATCACCAAAGAAATTTGCAGAATTCTCAGTGAAACACAGGGGAACAGGTTTGATTCTGGAGGGTATTCCTGGAGGCCTTCAAAGGCTAAAGCACGCAGTGGAAACCCCAAAGCCGGAGCAATGGCTCTGCTTGTGAAAGCCCCCGAAGGCAAGACCCGGAGCCTGTTACCAATTCTCCAAGTCTCACACAGTCTCTGGCACAAGGTAGGAGAATGCAATACCCATGGAGTGCATGAGTGAATGAATGATGAATGAATGAGCAAGAAAATAAATGCCGTGAATGAGAGTTCTGTCCAAAGATTTAGAAAGTAAGAATAAGGCTCTGGGGAAAGTCCCCAGCATCTCTTCCATCACAGAGACTTCCTGCTGCCCAAGCTCCTCCCGTGGAACCCGGCCCTTCCTCCGTGGTCTCCAGCGTTCTGCGTGATGGATTCTGAGAAAGCCAGGCCATTCATCTGTGCTGGTGCCATGCGGGCCTTCAGTGCTTCCTGCCCCTGGCTCTCCCACCTGGTGGTCTATCGGAGGAACTCCCTGTGAGGACACAGCAGAAGCTGACTGGCACAGGTGGGAGGGGGACCTGCTGGGCCCAGCCGGAGGGGCCTAGAGAGTGGGAGGCAGGGGGACCTCAGTGACCGTGGGGACCTCTCCCCATATGTCCTCATCCTCTTGACCATTTCCTCTCCACGCCCAGGCACTCGTGGGAAGTTAAAACCCAAAGTTGGACGTGTGCTGCCAGGTCAGGGATAGCAGGTGCCACCTGGGTGCCTGAGCACAATTCCTTTCTCTCGAAGTCAGCCTAAGATTGGCTCTGATTTTGCAAATGCAGCTTGGATGTTGGCCATGTCCCATTGGAGCTGCCTGAGGCCTTTGCCCCTCCTCTGGAGAGATCCAAAGCCACAGAGCCAAGGTGGTCCCTTTTTCTGGAACCCACAGAGAACAAGAGAAGATGGGGCAGCACCCTGGGGACACCAGGTGACAAGACTCACCAGTGGTCTTGGAGGAGACAGAAGCCATCTTCAGGGATCTGAACGCTCCTGGTAATGAGGTATCCGCCCAGGGAAAAAATAGGCCAGGCCAGGATCCCCCAGCGCACAGCAGGGGAGACACAGCCCAGCAGAAGGCGGGTTTGTAAGTGGAACTTTCCCAGCGTGCCTGGCCTCTTTCCATTATTCCTCTGGGCCCAAAGCACAGATACATTACGGCTTTCCCTGTCCTTCGAGGGGGCCTGGGATTTCTCTGCTATCATAATTCATAGGTGGTCTATTTCCAGAACAAAGATACTCCATTTATTCATCTCACAAACATTCTTGACCCCCTGCAGTGAGTCAGGCACGGCACCTTCCCTAAGCCAGGCAGAGCTGAATCTGACTCGGGTTTCCGGTTTTGTATGAAAACTCTATACAAATATGGTTGGCTGGCATCTTGGCTCAGGCTCCCATAACAAAGTACCAGAGGTACCACCCCTGGTTTAAGCAGGAGACGTTTACTTCTCACAGGTCTGGAGGCTGGAAGTCTGAGATCAGATGCCAGCCAGTTTAATTGTTGGTGAGGGCCCCCTTCCTGGCCTACAGATGGCCGCCTTCTCACTGTGTCCTCACAAAGTGGGGATGGAGAGAGAACTCTGGCATCTCTTTTTTTTTTTTGGTAGAGATGGGGTCTTCCTATGTTGCCCAGGCTGGTCTCAAACTTATGGCTTCCAGCAATCCTCCTGCCTCAGCCTCCCAAAATGCTAGGGTTACAGATGTGAGCCACCACACCAGGCCTCTCTTCCTCTTCTTATAAGGGTACTAATCCTATCATAAGGTCCCACCCCCATGACTCCATCTAAACCTCATTACCTCCCAAAGGCTCCCTCTCCAAAGACTATCACATTGGGGTTAGGGCTTCAGCATATGGATTTTGGAAGAATACAGATATTCAGTCCATAGACGATGGTGAGTCTCCTTTTTTTTTTAAGAAAAACTTCAAAAACCAGGAGAGAGCCCAGACACAGTCCCCCACTACCACAAATGATGCAGTGACTTTCCCACATTTGGGGAAATCGCAGAGGTCAACACATCTGGTGTGCAATGAATAAGCCTCACCCTGGAAGACCACCTTCAGGACTCTAGTCCATCTCCCCTGCCAGGGAAGCACGGCGGGTCGCTTCTTGATAAAGACCTACAAGCAAAAACAGGTATCAGCTGCCAGATCACACTCATCCCTGGCAGCAGGATGGCGGTGCTTCCTCCAATATGCCACAATAGTAAAAGCCTCGTTGAGTCCAACCCCATAAACACAGAAACTGAAAACGTGCCAATATTTGGCTGGCTAAACAGACACGTGGTGTAAACAGGCTTACAGGGGAGATACTTAACCTTCCTAAGAGAGCAGACCTTTTAAAGATATCCTCAAGATTCCGTCGTGTACAGTTAACGTGAAAAGACGGTGTTAATAACAGACTTGAATTACTGTTGTACTCAAAATTGATCTAACTGCACCACATCTCCTAAAATACCACGTAAGGGACTTCCAGGTCGCCATGGTAATGATAGTCACAAAAACTCAAATCTCCCAACGCATCCTCTAGAAACTACACAGATCAACAAGAAGAACAAAAGCAACCACAGAAATCCAACAGCTCTCACATGACTGGAAAAAAGAGCCGCTATGAACTTCAAATCACCCATAAGTAGAAACTAAACACCAATGTCTTCAGTTCCCACCCAGAACTTTTATAACGAGCAAGGGGACAAGAGCGGTCCAAAAGCCAATGAAGACAGAGAAAGTACATCCTAAGGGAGAGAAATACTAAAAATGAATCTAGATAGACCAGAACATGGACTCGAAGGAAGGAGTTTAAAGGCAGGCAGGGACAGCATTAGAAAATGTGCTGGGGAGGGAGGGAGAAGCCAGATGTGGGCATTTAGAATTCTGCAAAACAAAAATAATGATACATCCAAGGAACCTCAACTCCTCCCGCCCCTCCCCCAAAAGCCAGTTGTAAGGAAACTGCACTACACTGCACTGACAGAGGAGGGAGCTCTTGAACTAAAAATCACATGAACCACTCATTGTGGAGATATAAGCGGTCTTCATCTACAGGAGGCTATAAAAGAAGAAAAACGAAAATAAGAATACAAAAGAGGTCAGCGGGAGGAAATTACCCCAAAATACAGCCATAGGTGGAGGGGAGGAACTGTGACATAATATAACAAACTGAATTAAAAACCTCAACGATGCCTTTTAAAAATATCCTCACCACTTGTACATGAAAAGATCAAATAACTTATTATAAGGGCAAGAGAGACAGTTGTCAGCCTTCTCAAAAACAACCCACAAAGTAGGGCAAGGATGGAGCAGCAGTCAAAGATTTTACATCCGGCTCAAAGATTTTATATTCAGCGAAGCAGACCCTCAAATATCAGAGGTACAGAATAAGAGTTTAAAATATGGAAGAACTGAGAAAGTGATGCACCCATGGGCACCTCTGAAGGAATCTTCTAAAGAATTAACTTTATCCAACCAGGAGATGACTGGGAACTCTTTGGCAAAGGAACTTATGAGGAACATTTAACATATTTAATTACGGACCTAAATTAAGTGTGTAACTAAGGTTAGGAGAATCATACATGGATGATACATGTTTTGTCAACTACAAAATGACAGGAAACAAGAAAAGGAAAAATAAAACCGGAATAAGCTCAGTGATGGTTGTACACGCAACAGGTGGGAGTCAAGAGACTCCACTAATTAGAAAAAACCAAATGGCAAACATTAGGAAGAGACTAATGGGATTTTTAAAGGTAATGAGTACAAAGATACCCATTAGAATAAAAATGAGAATTTCTTACATATAAAATTAAATGAGCATAGAAAATGCAACATGTAGAAAAAACAAGTACAGCAAATAGAACATAATACACATAGTATTAATTACATAAAATATTATACATATTGGACATATAAATAAAAGTGAATGGGCCTAACTTACTTATGAAAATAAAAGATCTTCAATTTGGCTTAGAAAGAAAGATCCAACTACATGTTATATATAAGAGGCATACCTTTTAAAAGAGTGTATATGTCCATTCTCACACTGCTATAAAGAACTGCCTGAGACTGGGTAATTTATTAAAGGAAAGAGGTTCAACTGACTCACAGTTCCATATGGCTGCAGAGGCCTCAGGAAACAGAATCGTGGCAGAAGAGGATGTAAACACCTCCTTCTTCACATGGCAGGAGGAGAGAGAAGTGCCGAGCAAAGGGGAGAAGCCCCTTATAAAACCATCAGATCTCGTGAGAACTCCCTCACTATCACGGAAACAGTATGGGGGAAACTGTCCCCATGATTTAATTTTCCCCACCTGGTCCTGCCCTTGACACACGGGGATTATTACAATTCGGGGTGAGATTTGGGTGGGGACAAAGAGCCAAGCCATATCAAAGAGATTCAGAAAGCCTAAAACTAAAAAGGATGGCAAAGATATATGAGGCAAATGCAAATAACAGAACAAGTATTGCAATCTTGATATCAAAGTAGAATAAGTATAATTTAAGAGAAAACATTAATTATGATACTTGCTAATGCTAAAAATCACATTCCACAATAAAGATATAACCAATAACCATAATGAATATTAGTGCACCAAACAAGACTAAAACTACCTTTATGAGATAGGAAATTGTAGGAAATATAGACCAGGTTTAGTGGCTCACACCTGTAATCCCAGCAATTTGGGAGGCCAAGACTGGTGGATCACTTGAGGTCAGGAGTTCAAGACTAGCCTGGCCGACACGACAAAACCCTATCTCTACTAAAAGCACAAAAATTAGCCAGGGTGGGGGTGCCTGCCTGTATGTAGTCTTAGCTACTCGGGAGGCTGAAGCACGAGGATTGTGAGGATTGTTTGAACCCGGGAAGCGGAGGTTGCAGTGAGCCGAGATCGTACCACTACACTCCAGCCTGGGTGACAGAGTGAGACTCTGTCACACACCACACACACACACACACACATCCTGTAGGAAATATAGATGAAATCACTAAGAATAGTTTGTTTACTACACCGCTGTCAGCACAAAAGAAACCAGGTAGACAAAAAATAAGTAAGGACACAGAAGCCCTAAACAATATAATCAATTCCCTTGACAAATCAATTTGTCACTGATAGGGTTTGCATTTGTGTCCCCACCCAAATCTCATGTCAAATTGTAATCCCCAGTGTTGGAGGAAGAGCCCAAGGGAGGTGATTGAATCATGAGAGCAGATTTCCCTCTTTCTGTTCTCTCAATAGTGAGTGAGTGCTCAGGAGATCCAGTTGTTTGAAAGTGTGTAGCACCTCCCACTTCACCCTTTTCCTCCTGCTCTGGCCACGTGGGATGTGTCTGCTACCCCTTTGCCTTCCACCATGATTGTAAGTTACCTGAGGCTTCCCAGCCATGCTTCCTGTACAGCCTGTGGAAGCGTGAGTCAATTAAACTTCTTGTTTTTATAAATTACCTAGTCTCGGGTAGTTCTTCATAGCAATGTGGGAGCAGATTAAGACAGTCACACTTCATACTTTTTCTTTGAATTCCCTAACAGTAGATAGGAAATCTACTACACCTTCTCCTTAAGTACACATAGAATGTCCACAAAAATTGGTCACGTTAGGCAATAAATAATCAATGCATTTCATAAAATAGAAATATTACAAAGAAATGTTTTCTAATCAGTCTAATAAAACTGGAAAATAGTGTTGAAAATCTTTTTTCAACTAAAGCAATAGAAATTCCAAAAATGTACATGTGATGAGTAAAACACTACATACCAGGCCAGGCACGGTGACTCACACCTGTAATCCCAGCACTTTGGGAGGCTGAGGCGGGCAGATCACCTGAGGTCAGGAGTTTGAGACCAGCCTGGCCAACATGGTGAAACCCACATCTCTACTAAAATTATAAAAATTAGCTGGGTGTGGTGGTACATGCTTGTAGTTCCAGCTACTCAGGAGGCTGAGGTGGGAGAATCACTTGAACCTGGGAGGTGGAGGTTGCAGTGAGCTGAGATCGTGCCACTGCACTCCAGCCTGGGCAACAAAGTGAGACTCTATCTAAAAAAATAAATAAATAAATAATATAATAAAATAAAAATAAATAAAAATTTTTTTAAATGTCTTTTCAACAATCGGTGCTAGAGCAATTGGACATCCACAAATTAAAAAAAAATAGAAAGAAAGAAAGAAAGAAAGAAAAGAAAAGATAAAACCTCTACTGAAGTCTTCTCCAAACCTACAAAAACTAATTCGGAATGGATAAAGGGCTTAGTACATAGGAGAAAAATTGGGAACTAGGGCTAGGCAAAGGGTTCTTAGACTTAACACCTACAGCACAACACATAAAAGGAAAAATGGGTAAACTAGATTTCATCAAATTAAAATCTTTGCTCTGTGAAAGACTCTGTTAACAGGATGCAAAAGAAGATACAAATTAGGAGAAAATATTTGCAAACCACCTATCAGACAAATGACTGGTATTTGGGATGTAAAGAGAACCCTCAAAACTTAATACAAAATAACATAATCCAATTAGAAAATGGACAAAGGACTCCAACAGGTAATTCACCAAAGTGAATATACAGATGGCAGGTAATTCAGAATATACAACAGGAAATTCACCAAAGAGAATAAACACAAGAAAAGGTATTCAACATCATTAGCCAATTAGAGAAATGCACATTGAAACCACAATCAGATAACACTACATACCTATCAGGATAGCTAAAATAAAAAAGAGTGCCAACACCAAATGCTGAAAAGGATGTGGAGAAATGGAATCATCCGTATTGCTTGTGGGAATATAAAGCACAGCGACTCTGAAAAGTACTTTGGCAGATTCTTTAAAAACCAGATAGGTAGTTACCATGTAATCCAGCAACTGCATTCCTAGGCATTTACCTCCAAGAAATGAAAATCCGTGATCACACAAAAACCTGCACACAAACATTTATAGATACTTTATATGTAATTGCCAAGAAGAAACACCCAGATGTCCTTCAGTGTATAAGCGGCTGAACAAACAGCAGCACATTCTATGGTACATCCCTCAGCAATAAGAATAAATAAACTATTAATACATGCAACAATCTAGATGAATCCCAAGAGAATTATGCTGCGTCA